GAAGAGAAGGGGGTAGGAGCCTGAGCACTTGGGCCGGTTAAAACTAGACAGAGCTACAGAAAATGAGCTGCAGGGAGCAGGCCGGCGTAGGCGCCTGGGGGGAGGGGACAGACCAGGCAATAGTTACTGAACTAGCTAGTCTGGAGTAAGCCTGTCCACATGGGGGCGTATGCTGAGAAAACGATCCAGAATAAGCTGGAAGAGCTAGTTCGGGAAATTGCCAAGCGTAGCCAAACCCTGGGTGTGACGGTAATACTCCGCCTTTCTTTGGCTGCCATTCCGGGAACTCAGCACACTTGATTCCTGCCTCCCTACACACCTCAGTGGTGGGGATTATTCTAGATGGAGAAACTGAGGCACAGAAGGGCCAGGAGCTGCCCCAAGCCAGTGTAAATAAGAACAGCACCGAGGCCTGCTGGCAGAGCAAGATGGGGAAAAGGGTCCCACCATCTCAACTACCTGAAGGGGGTATATATGTGTCAGTATATAATGCCTGCATCTGTAACTTTCACTCTATGCATCTGAAGAAGTGAGGTTTTTACCCACGAAAGCTTATGCCCAAATAAATCTGTTAGTCTTTAAGGTGCCACCAGACTCCTTGTTGTTTTCGTAGATACAGACTAACACGGCGACCCCCTGATACTTGATACCTGAAGGGGGGTTCCAAAGAGGATGGAGCTCGGCTGCTCTCAGTGGTGGCAGATGACAGAACAAGGAGCAACGGTCTCAAGTTGCAGTGGGGGAGGTCTAGGTTGGATATTAGGAAACACTTTTTCACTAGGAGAGTGGTGAAGCACTGGAATGGGTTACCTAGGGAGATGGTGGAATCTCCTTCCTTAGAGGTTTTTAAGGTCAGGCTTGACAAAGCCCTGGCTGGGATGATTTAGTTGGGGATTGGTCCTGCTTTGAGCAGGGGGTTGGACTAGATGACCTCCTGAGGTCCCTTCCAACCCTGATATTCTTTGATTCTAGGACCAAGTGAACCGAGACCACCCCTGGCAGGGGTTTGTTATGCCACTTCTTAAAAACCGCCCAGTGTCGGGGATTCCACAACCTGCCTATACACACATACTCAAGCAGCATCAGTTCCCATAAACACAACCCTGGGGATGAACAGAGAACTTCAGTCTCCAGGGCTGTGCATCCCTTCCTGCCTGAGGTATGCAGAGTTCTGGATTCCTTCTCAGAGCAGTGGGTTCTCTGCTCGCTGGCCCCTTGTTTTAACCCTACGACCTATACGCCCATCCCTGTTTTTTGCTGTTTTTGTCCCCCTGTAGCTAATTGTTCCTTGTTCTGCTGCTGCCTGCCTCCCTTTATTTACTGTGTTGGATATAACTCCCTCCCCCCTCCATGCCTTACAGGGATCCAATAGGCCAGCACCCCGTACCAGCTCTGGATTTACCGGGGATGAAATTCACCCCAGTCCAGCAGGTTGGCACATTCTCCAGGCATCACTCAGGACCCAGCGAGTGGTCAATGGCACGTAGACTGTCTGCAAACACTCAGTACAAGAGTGAATTACACCCTGACGCACCAAGAGCAAAGAAGATGGCACCTGAGTAGATATTTCTTTGGCTGGAATTTGGTGCTGGAAAAAGCCCTCAGCACTGCTGCCCTTTCAGCACCGAGGAGTCCAGCTAGCGCCGCCCCAGAATTAGAACCAGCATCGATGGCCCCCAGAGTGTCTTTTCCACTGAGATGCGTTTAATGTGTACACATAACTTCAGTTGTGATGGAGCGCCAAGCCCTGGCTCTGCGTAGTCTTGTTTGTGGTTGGATCTGTCTATAGATACCACAGCGACATATAGATATTTAAGTGGACCCTTGAAGTCTGAAGACATCTGAGCGCTAATTCAATCTTTAAAGCAAAAGTTTTCGTCATCCTTGTGAAAAAAGCAAACACTGTAGAGCCAGATCCTCAGAGGGTGTAAAATACCATAAATCAAGACAGGATGTCTCCTTCTAACAGCTCTGCTCTCCCTCCTCCAGAACTGCTGGGCTCAATGCAAGACCTACTGGGTAGACTTCTGGGACCTATGTTTGCAGAAGGTCACAGAGTCATAGACTCCAAGGCCAGAAGGGATCAGTGTGAGAGTCTAGTTTGACCTTCTGTATAACACAGGCCAGCGACCTGCCCCACAATAATTCCCGGAGCAGAGCTTTTAGAAAAACGTCCAGTCTTGATTTAAACATTGTCTGTGATGGAGACTCCACCACGCTCTCTGGTAAACTGATCAGGTTAAAAAAAAGGGCAGTCTAGTAGTTCAATGGTTTTCAACCTTTCTTCATTTGCAGACGCTTAAAACATGTTGACTGGTGGTGTGGACCCCTTTGGAAATGAACCGGGGTCCATGGACTGCAGGTTAAAAACCACTGAACTAGCTTGTCACAATGAGCCTGTCTGGCTTTAACAGCTATGTGAGCCGTCAACCGCCATGGAGTGACACTAATGTGTACCAGCTAAAGCAGGCCCAAAGGGTTTGGTGTGAAGGCCAAGACACAGAACTATTGTTATTTAACTAGCGCCAGCACAAAGGTACAATCACTCCTTTGCTACATGGAAAGGTTTGCCATAGGGTGACTGATGCTGGAGTGGGACTTGAATCTCCCAGCACTAGGCTGAACACGGGACCTAGTGTGGCCCTGACACTGTGCTAGTTCCGCTCCCATCTTTCTTCTGTTGTGTGTGGGAGGGATGCTGGTTTGAGCATTGGCCTGCTAAACCCAGGGTTGTGAGTTCAATCCTTGAGGGGGCCACTTAGGGAATCTGGGGCAAAATCAGTACTTGATCCTGCTAGTGAAGGCAGGGGGCTGGACTTGATGACCTTTCGGGGTCCCTTCCAGCTCTATGAGATAGGTATATTTCCATATATTGGAATCATGGGGTGAAATCCTGACTCCACTGCACTCAAAGGCAAAACTCCTCTCGACTTCAGCGGGAGCAAGATTTCACTCCTAGAACCCGAGAATGTGTCTCCTCTCTCGCCAAGGTTAATCCAATCCACCACCTTTATAATGAACCATTCACCACTGGGCTTGGCGTTGGTGGCCTGCGATTGATGGGTCAGTCTAGATGATCGGGTGGTTCCGTCTGGCCTGAAACTCTCTATCTCTATGATCATTGTATTTAGGATCCATGTCTTACGTCCCTCAATAGCCCCACGTGTTTTATTTCTCTAGATTACCAGGCAGATTGGAGGCCTGACCCAAAAGCCCACTGGAGTCAATGAGGGTCTTCCACTGATTTCAGTGGGCTTTGGCTCAGGCCCCCAGTGAATTAATGTCTGGTTCCATAGTGCACGGTCCTTAGGGAACATTTCGATGTCTGAAGAAGATTCATGGAACTAACATGAGAGGTCACCACAAACCATCCCCCTAGCGGTGAAACAGGAGGGGGTGTGTGTGTGTGTGTGCGCGCGCCGCTCTGAATGTTACTGGGAGGTGGGCGGCTGTGTTGCGTGAGCATCCAGTGGTATATGTAGCCTCATCATGACGGCACATAAAGATACGGGGTCAAAATCAGTAGCTTCTACTGACAATAGCCATTGAATTACACTGAAGAAGACAGGATGATTCCGGATGCGCCGCCCCCTGCAGAACATGACAGAACCTTAATCACGTGTGGTACGTCAACTTGCTCTTACCGTCTGATCCCGGCTCACTGCTCTGGGAAAGACAAGACCCATGCGGTCCTCCCAAAGGGTCAGTGATGTCCTTATGCTTGTGTGCATGCTAGGCCCTTTCCGGAGGATGGAGAGTGGGGACCGCAGAGAAGCAACGCGTTTACTCACCTACAGCTGGGAATAGAGATGCAATCTCACTAGCTTATCATGAGCCCTTTCACCTATAGGTCGTTGGTTTGAATCTGTCCTCTGCCAGCTATCGCCAGAAATTGTTGGCAGCCTACAAGAAAGGAGCATGGCTGGTCTCTCTCCAGTTCCCACACTGAACCGGTGTCCGTTCCACAAAGACCACCTTCCCAATGGGCACGACTCAGCCATGGGCCCACCTCACTCCGATTGCTCAACAGAGTCACGGCCCTGATTTCAAAAACACAGGAGCGACATGAAGGCGAATCAGGCACCTTGTGGCCGTCCCAGCAGAGAGGCCACGGATGGACCGGGCCATAAAGACAAACTTATACCCCTGGAGTTAGCTGATGTTCCCTCTGACCATGCAGGATAGAGACCAGCCGAGACCACATTGCGCTCAGCTGGAGCAGAGACCGTGGCTAAGGCTGACCTGAGACAGACGGTCCAGGCCTTAATAAAGTGAGCGGTACAAAGGGTTTGGTGTCTTTCTGCACGGCTCTTTCACGGGGCTGCCAGCTCCTTTCAGCACAGTGACTATGGAATGGTCCAGGAGGTCGTTTTCAGGCTGCCTGGCCACTGACCAGCCATGCTGTGGCACTGCCCTCCTTTGGGCGGGCACGGGATCCCACGGCAAGGATGAAAGCAGCGTGGCAGCTGCGTTGCAAGCCGGTGAATGGCAGTACCGTGGCACGTAACGCTATTAACCTGGGCACCTAATACAGCAGCTTAGTGTGTGTGAGCGTGTCTCCCCCTAGTGGCTGACCACTGCGTTTATAACAGCTTGCTACTTAACCAGGTCATTGACTTACACCTTTAGCTGAAGCAACTCTGGTATCTTTATATATAGGGTGACCAGATGTCCCGATTTTATAGGGACAGTCCCGATTTTTGGATCTTTTTCTTATATAGGCTCCTATTACCCCCCACCCCCGTCCCGATTTTTCACATTTGCTGTCTGGTCACCCTATTTATATATGTGGCCACGACTAGCTATAAAAAAATAGAGCAAGGTCGGACATTACTGGGCTTAAATAAACTGATGCAGCCTCTGCACCCACCAGGTGTAATGAGTAAGGAATCTCCCTCAGCAACGGCTTCGCTTGCATCGGCTTTTGTGACTGGCGCCTTCCCGCGGGCCCCAGTCATCTGGCTTCCGCTTTCCATGTAATGCAATGTGGGGAAGTCGAGAAGAGTAAAAAGACATTTATTTCTCTACTAAAATGTTTGAGGGCGCACAGGCTGGGGCTGGTTCGCTGGCTTGCTAAGCTAAACAGTAGAATACGCCCCTCTCCGGACAGCCTAAGTGCAGTTGCTCCTCGTCGTATATACCTCGGAGTCTTTCCGAGCCGCGGCACTAGTCTCATAGTCCAGCCCTACGAGCCCGCGGCAAGATGCTGAGTCTCCGCTGCTGTTAAAATAGCCATGTATATTACAGGGCTGGAGAAAGGAGAAGAGGTGGATAGGGATAATGGCTTTGCAGCCTTAACTTTGGTCTAGAAGCGAGAGCAAGAGACGGACAAGGAAGGAGGGGGAAGGCTACAGGAAGTGCTAATATTACCCAGGACGGTGGGGCACACGGGAGAGGAGTCGCAGTAGATCAGAAGACGACAGTCTCGGCAGTGAGCCCGGAGGCAAAAGGCAGACGCTCAGTCACCCTGGAGCAGCGGCTGGGCTAAGGATATACGGGTGGTTGCTGCAGCATGTCTCAGTGTGTCCCTCTCCCTCGGCACAGCCCCGTCCCGGTGGGATAATCTGGCTTCCCGCTGGTGGCTTGTCCTTGAGGTCACTGCGGGAGGCACTTCACTCCAGCGTCCTCGGCGTGGCCGCAGTTGCTCTTCCCCCAGCTGGAGAAGGTGCACTGAAACAGACTGTCCTCTGTGCCTTTGCAGGCGACGTCGTCCATCCAGATCCGCCCTATACCTGGGGAAACATTGGGACAGCGCCATTAGCTGCAATGCCAGGCTGCCTCCAGGGGGCGGCCCCCTTCCGTAACCGCCCGGTCTTATTCCGGGATAATGCTTCAACCTTCAAACCCAGCAGCTTTCCTGCAGCAGCATCACATCACTGGCCTGCAAAGATCGTGTCACCCACCACTGATAGGCAGCCACCTCTGAGATACCGCTGCAGAGGGGAGAACTGGCAGGTTTGCTTCTTTCTGATGTACTAAGAGAGCCTGGGCGGCCTTTTCAAAACCTTTTTCCTGCTTCCTCTTTAATTTAAGAAGAGCCCGAATGTCCAGAATGTGTTTGTTGGAGGGCTAGCTGACAGCACAGGGTGGTCTAGATAGTACTTAGCCCTGCCTTGAGTGCAAGGGCCTGGACGAGACGACCTCTCAAGGTCCCTTCCAGTCCTACGATCCTACGTGCAATTGGAGCTAGCTAGGCGTTTAGTTAAAAGGGCAGGGCTGGCGTGTCTTTAACAAAAAGGGCTTTTCTCCATAGTGTTTGAGCTACATAAATGTTAAACAAAATCAAGCAGAAAGCAAAGAGTTTTTAACGGTCTGAATAAAATTCACTTCCCCCCTGAGTTAATCAGCTTTCATTTCCACGCTAGCCTCCCAGATCTCTAGTTCTCCACAGAGTCTGCCAGGGTCTGAATTTCTAATGTTAAGAACTGGTAGAATGATCCAACCTCCTTTAATGGCTAGTAGTCAAGATGATCAGGGATGCAACCCCACGCTCTGGGTGTCCCTAAGCCTCTGACTGCCAGAACTGGGACTGGACAACAGGGGATGGATCACTCAATACATTGCTCTGTTCTGTTCATTCCCTCTGAAGCACCTGGCAGTGGCCACTGTCGGAAGACAGGACACTGGGCTGGATGGACCTTTGGTCTGACCAAGTCTGGCTGTTCTTATGTTCTTATTTTATTTGAAGGGCAAAAATGAAACCTTTCTGGCCTTCATCATCCATCCTAAAGAAGCCAAAAAAGACCATGTCTTCCCCCTTTCCATTTCATAGGTTCATAGGAACATAGGCTTTGCCAGATTGGATTAGACTAGGGTCCATCTAGTTCAATGTCCTGTCTCTGACAGTGATGGCACCAGAAGCTTCAGAAAAAAGAGCAAGAAATCCTGCAGAAGGCAAATGCGGAATAACCTTTAAGATCTCATCCTAATCCCTAATAGCGACTGGCATAAACCCTGAAGCATGAGGTTTTATATCCCTTCCAAAATGTTGCTAGCATTAACTAGGCTAGCTCGGAATAGTCTTGTAACCTATTAAATGTCAAATTTATGTTTGCGTCTTGCTCAACATTCAACTCCGGGCCTCAACAACATATCCAGTGGCAGTGAGTTCCACAGTCCAATTACGAGCTGTGTGAAACTCTAAGATGCAAACCATACCGGAGCTGTGCTTAAACTCACATTTCTCTAACTCTGAGAGTAAATCTACTGATGAGACCAAGACACAAAACTCTGCTATAAGGGAATCGGATCCAGGGTTTTATGTTGGCCAGTTCTCAAGAGATGACCCGACTATGATCTGATTCCCCACAGAATTCAGAGGTGTTCAGATCTGGCATTGTGCCCATAGCCCCATCTCTCATTAAAACCAGAAGGATAAATTCAGCATCTTTGGGCACAGAGAGAATCCCAGAGAGGCTAGGCTAGGCTCTCCCCTGTCAGGGTTAAACACTCCTGCCTTGGTTGGTAACGAGATCATAAGAACGGCCATACTAGGTCAGACCAAAGGTCCAGCTAGCCCAGTATCCTGTCCTCCGACAGTGGCCAATGCCAGGTGCCCCAGGGGGAATGAACAGAACAGAGAATCATCAAGTGATCCATCCCCTGTCGCCCATTCCCAGCTTCTGGCAAACAGAGGCTAGGGACACCATCCCTGGCTAATAGCCACTGATGGACCTATCCTCCATGAATATATCTAGTTCTTTTTGGAACCCTGTTATAGTCTTGGCCTTCACAACATCCTCTGGCAAAAAGTTCCACAGGTTGACTGTGTGTTGTGTGAAGAAATACTTCCTTTTCTTCGTTTTAAACCTGCTGCCTATTCATTTCATTTGGTGACCCCTAGTTCTTGTGTTATGAGGAGAAAATAACACTTCCTTATTTACTTTCTCTACATCAGTCATGATTTTATAGACCTCCATCATATCACCCCTTAGTCGTCTCTTTTCCAATCTGAAAAGTCCCGGTCTTATTAATCTCTCCTCATATGGAAGCTGTTCCATACCCCTCATCATTTTTGTTGCCCTTTTTTGAACCTTTTCTGATTCCAATATATCTTTTTTGAGATGGGGCGACCACATTTGCACGCAGTATTCAAGATGTGGTTGTACCATGGATTTATATAGAGGCAACATGATATTTTCTGTCTTATTATCTATCCCTTTCTTAATGATGCCCAACATTCTGTTCACTTTTTTGACTGGATGTTTGGATGTTTTCAGAGAACTATCCACAATGACGCCAAGATCTCTTTCTGGAGTGGAATGGAATGGCGGGGTGGGGGGGGTCCCACACCCAAGTGTTCCTTTTAGCTTGTATGTGTCAGGGCCTCTTGGCCCTCCATCCCTGGGAACAGGGCCGGGCGGTATCAGAGGCAGCCTGGTGATGAGCCACATACTGTGCGGCGGGATCTGATTACAGAGCAGAGAGATCAAAACCACACTGGCGCCCCGCATGGTTAACCTCAGTAGAGCGACCGTTGCCTGTGCTCATTTGCTTCTCTGTTAGGGCTGGTCTACACTGGTGGGGGGGGGAAGAATCGATCTAAGATACGCAACTTCAGCTACGCTATTCACGTAGCTGAAGTCAAAGTATCTTAGTTCGACTTACCTGGCCGTCCTCACAGCGGCAAGTCGACCGCTGCGGCTCCCCTCTCGACTTCGCTTACTCCTCCTGCCGAGATGGAGTATGGGCTTCGATTCGGGGATCGATTTATCGAGTCTAGATGAGACGCGATAAATCGATCCCCGATAGATCGATTACTACCTGCCGATCCGGTGGGTGGTGTAGACGTGGACTTACAGGTCTGAGATGCTCATGTCCCGACGAATGCTGGGGACGTTCAGACACGGGCCTAGACTTTGCTGCTGGGACCCATCTCGTCAAATAACGAAAATAATAGGTGCAAACAGATGCAGTGGGCATAGCCTAGGGAGCATGAAATACGTGACCGGCAAATAGGTGGGGGAATAAATAGACCATTCTTCCCTGCGCACATGCTGGCTTGGCACATGTGTGTATGTCTCCCTCTGGTGGCTGGACCCAGTGACTACATCAGCGTGACACAGCTAAAGACATTAGCTTCGGTCTCTTGGCACCGAAGAATAGACATTTCCTGGCATGAAGCCCCCTGGAGACGACAGCACAACAAGGAGAAGGCCCTGCGCCCATTGCTGGCTGCCCAGCGTGGAGCGCCAGACACCGAGCTCAGGCCAACCTCTTTGTACGGCGCGGGGCAGGAGGGTCTGTACACGCTGTATTCATCCAGCCGGAGTCTCCTCAGAGAGGAGACCGCTGGTCTTTAGTTAGGGCATTTGGAAAAAAATAAGAGTCATTTCTCTCTCGGCCCAGCCCTCAGCTCGGAGGAACCGGCTCGCACGGGGGCATTAACCTGCCTCGCAAGGCCTCCGTGTTTGTCATTCTGTTTGCGACGTGCCGTGACCCCCACAAGAGAGACTGAGAAGGAGCCATCTCGCCCTGAGCCCCAGCTTCTCCCAGAGCTGGCGGGGTGGAGTCCTACGCGCAGACTGCACAGCCCCGAGAGCTGGCAGGTCCGACCAGCCCGTGAGCGTGGGCCAAGGGAGCGCTGGCTGCAGGGGAGGGGTGCTGAGGGCACGGCTATGGAGACGGGGGGCGGTCTGGTCTTATAGGGAACATCTACACAGCAAGTGGCAGCGAGCCTCCAAACCTGGCTCAACAGACCGAGGCCCGTGCTCCTATGCTAAAAATAGCTGCAGAGACTGTGCTTTGAAGTTGCAATTTGGGTGGGAGCTCGGGCTGTGAGGCCTAGGAAGGGGCAGTCTTCAGAGCCCACGACACATCCCAAACCGCGACATCTGTTAAAGAAGTATGGGCTGGATGAATGGGCTATAAGGTGGATAGAAAGCTGGCTGGATCGTGGGGCTCAACGGGTAGTGATCAACGGCTCCATGTCTAGTTGGTAGCCGGTATCAAGTGGAGTGCCCCAAGGGTCGGTCTTGGGGCCGTTTTTGTTCACTATCTTCATTAATGATCTGGAGGATGGTGTGGACTGCACTCTCAGCAAGTTTGCAGATGACACTACACTGGGAGGAGTGGTAGATACGCTGGAGGGTAGGGATAGGATACAGAGGGACCTAGACAAATTAGAGGACTGGGCCAAAAGAAATCTGATGAGGTTCAACAAGGACAAGTGCAGAGTCCTGCAGTTAGGACATAAAAATCCCATGCACTGCTACAGACTAGGGACCAAGTGGCTAGGCAGCAGTTCTGCAGAAAAGTACCTAGCGGTTACAGTGGACGAGAAGCTGAATATGAGTCGACAGTGTGCCCTTGTTGCCAAGAAGACTAATGGCATTCTGGGCTGTATAAGTAGGGGCACTGCCAGCAGATCAAGGGACGTGATCATTCCCCTCTATTCGACATTGGCGAGGCCTCATCTGGAGTACTGTGTCCAGTTTTGGGCCCCACACTACAAGAAGGATGTGAAAATTGGAAAGAGTCCAGCGGAGGGCAACAAAAATGATTACGGGGCTGGAGCACATGACTTATGAGGAGAGGCTGAGGGAACTGGGGTTATTTAGTCCGCAGAAGAGAAGAATGAGGGGGGATTTCATAGCTGCTTTCAGCTACCTGAAAGGGGGTTCCAAAGAGGATGGATCTAGACTGTTCTCAGTGGTGGCAGATGACAGAACAAGGAGTAATGGTCTCAAGTTGCGGGGGGGGGTTAGGTTGGATATTAGGAAAAACTTTTTCA